TTCCTGACAGTTAGAACAATCAATCAGGGGAACAGAAGTTGCCTCCAGAAGTTGTGAATGCTCCAACCCTGGAGGTTTTTAGGAAGATGTTGGTATAGTTTCCTGCCTAAGAAGGGGGGTTGGACTAGATGACCACCAAGATCCCTTCCAACTTGTTATTCTATCATATCATCTAGATCCATCTATCCATCCAATCTCCCCATCCATCGACTTTGGCTACCATCCATCCCTCCATCTATGTAATCTATCCATCCCTATCTATCCATCCATCATGTCTTGTTATATCTAAATCCGTCTATCCACCCAATTTATCCATCTCCCCATCCATATTCCATCATCTACGCATCCACCCATCCTCCCCATCCTTCCTCTGTGTCTATCCTCCATCCATCCATCATCTATCCATCCATCGTATCTAATCTATCCTCTCAATCGATCCCTATCTCTCCATCCATCATGTGTCTCCTATATCATCTACATCCATCCATCCATCCATCCATCCCCTCATCCATCATCTATGCGTCTGTCTATCATCCCTCCCACCCTCCCTAGAAGCCCTCCTAGCCCCAGTTGATGCCCAAAAGCAAGAGGGATTCCAGGAGGGGTCGAAGGCCCCCAACCCCATAGATTTATTTATTCAATTGGTGGGTTGATTGAGTCAATGTAGGGGCCACTCGGCCAGAAACCGCAGCCTCCTTCGAAACTGTTTTTTGTCTGGTGCTTTCTGTCCTCCTCGGGGCAGCCCACCCCCCCCGATTTGCCTATGGGACGGGGGTGGTGGTGTTTTGGGCCCCCCGGCCGCATCCGTCCTTCAAGCCGTCTTCTTTTTGACGTGAGCGCAGTCGTATTTGCCCCGTATGATCCGGACTTTGACGCCGGGCAGGTCCTGCTTGCGCCCGCCTTCCACCAGGACGGCCATGTGCTCCTGGAGGTTGTGCCCCTCGCCCGGGATGAAGCAGATCAGCTCTTTGCCCGTGCTGAGCCGCACCAGGGCGCACTTGCGGTTGGCCGAGTTGGGCTTCTTGGGCTTGCGGATGAGGGTCTTCAGCACCACCCCTTTCAGCTGAGGATGCCCGTCCAGGGGCCCCGGGGGAGACGGCGGGCGCTTGGGACGGCCCAGGCGGTGCATCTGCGTCAGCGTGGCCATCCAGCGGGCGCCTGCAGGAGTGGGGGGGGGGGGGGGGGGGGGGGGGGGAAGATGGCGTTGAGTGGGGGGACCGGTCACCTCTCGGGGTCTCCCCTCCACTCGTTACCCAGATCCCCTCTGTCAGCCCCCCTCCACCAGGAACCCCCAAATCCTGC